GAAAAAAAATAAAGAGTTTAAAAATGAGGATTTGATAAAACAATCCATTCCGGGATATTTTGCGTAGGATTCCCAAAACTTTTCAACATTAATATTTTCTAGTAATATAAACAAAATGCAGAAGTCAAAAGAATCTTTTTCAACCAAGTTTTAATGAGATTTGATCAACAGCTACTGAAAAAAAACCCGGAACATTACACATTCCCCATGAAAGCCTTTGGTTTCATTGAATTTGTAATGTTTAAAGGAAAACATACATGTATATATGTACATATATGTGTGTATATATATATACATACATTATATATATATATTTGAGTGATACACATGAGTGCAGGCCTTTGAAAAAGATGCTTCAAACTTTTTCAGTGCCTGATAAGTCATTAGCAATAGATTCATTTTTTATATACAAAACCTTTAAATAAAAAAATAAAATAAAATAAATAAAATAAAATAAAATAAAATAAAAAAAACAAACCCACTAAAAATACTGCTGCAAATAAAACACTTTCCACAAACCTTATAGCCATCTACTTAAATATGAGAAATATCAGAAGAACAGCTAAAATGCGATTTTTATTATCAAGGAAAAAAATAAAAAGATTGTGAGACCTGGTCTTATGCCAGTTTAGGACAAGACTTCAGGGAAAAAAAAAAAGAAAGAAAACAAATCAGCATCTACAGTATTAGATTGAGGTTTACAGACCTAAAAAAAATGTGATAAACAAAACTTGGATGCTCTATTACTTTTTAAATCAAGATATATTGTCCCACTATGAGTTGCCTGGAGCGTATCACTGTGACTGCCACAGAAACAACAGCAAGCTAAAGCATCTCCAGAGAAACAAAGCAATGCTTTATTATACATAGCACAGTTCACTGTCTTCATAAAGTTTCTTGATAGAGAGTTACAAAAATAGTTCTGTGATGTTCCCACTAAAAGTAAAATGGCATTTATTTCCAGTGCACCTATTGGGTAAAATAGCAGCGCCAGTTAAAAATATATCAGGCGATATGTTTTTTTAAGAGACATGGGAGACTTCTAATTGTTGTGATTTAGATTTTGTACCTTTTACATTTTTTAATCGTAAAATGTGCTTTTGATGGTGGAATAGCAAATTAGAATATTTGTGCGTGTTCTGACTGCTCAAATGAGTGGCATAACTTCTTGAAAATCTGTGAACACAACTATCAGATAGAAATAAGAATTAGAGAGCAACGTACAGTTATTTGAAGTGCTGTAAGAAGAATGAAATAGCATCTGTAGTGATCATGCCCATGGGTCACAGAGACATGAAATCACACGTGGAAGCATGCCACAGAATTAAGGAGACTGGGATCTAAACTTTGCAACTAAGGACTACTTCCAGTCTCACTTGTATGCTGGATATAAGTGCAGCACTTATTTGGGCCTATATTCACCAAGGGCTGATTTTATACTCATCCGAAATTTTGAAATATGGGCAGTTGAAAGCAATTCAAAAGAAAATATTAGAAGATCTTCAAGTAGCAAATTACTGGCAGAACTAGAGTGGGTCAGAAAGTGCTGCCTACTGCCACTCAAGCCACGTGTCTTTCCAGACTGGGTTTAGTCTGGTTTCCCAGGTTGGATGCTGTCCCTTTCCCACACCTATGGCTTCACAGTGTCAGTAGAAAAGCTACCTCACAAATACTTGCTGCAGGCTACTCTAAACACCATTTTCCTAATTGACAGACAACAGAAGAAACCATTCCCTGCCCCTGTTGCCCATAAAACCCTCCCATGCAGAAGCAATCCTGTACCCAAGGCTTATTTCTGTTCCCACTTGCGTCTCAATGACATTCGCTGTCACTGTATTTGCTGGCATTTGCACTCCTTGCCCTTAGAGGCTGTCAGCATCCAAACAAAGGCTCACAAGGTGTGGGGATAGTGGGCCTGCTCCTGCAGCTGCCACTCAGGATTACATCCCAGGTGCACTGAATCCAGCTTGAGGTTGAGCTCTGGGATAACCCAGAGCTTCTATGTTACAGCAAACTCTTGTATCCAAGCTTCATTGAGAAGAAAGTGATGGCACAAGGCTCTTTAAAGGCATTTCTGTTTTTCCAGGGACTTCATACTGCCAACCATGTGTTTTTCTCTGAAGTGCAAAAAATGAGTTTTGCACTCTCCAGCTCTTCAAGATTGCAAGGAAACCTCCAGCAAGGACAGATATTCTGACTGGTATGTAATTGCTGTGTTTTTATTTTGCTTTCAAAGAAAAGGACCTAACACACACACACACACACACAAAAGTTAATTGTGCAGACATGTTACAAAAAGTGTTGACAAGTGGATATAATTGCATATAAAGTGGGACCACACGAACAATTATCTAAGCATCTGCACTGTTAGCACTGCTCTTAGCACTGAGATTTCTATCACCAGACCAGAGACAAGGCTCTGGAGGCTGTAGGGTATGGGGGGTTGGGTAAGGAAGACACTAACAAAATAAAAATCTGCTGTGAATGGTAAGAGAAGCTTCGAGTAGCAAGGACTAAATCAATGTTTCGCTCCAGAAATTTTCTATCCAGTTACTAGGTGATGAAAATCTGCTTGACTTCTGAATCATGGAAGTAGACTTGGGTCTTAGGAACTGAGCCTGAGGTTGAATTCAGTGAATTAGCTCTGTGTTAATGGAACCTCTGTACATTGGTATCATAAGACAGCACAAAACGCATTTCAGCAGATGTGATCTCTCAAACATGCTGATGATCACCTTTGCTGAATAAGCTGCTGTTCCACTGCATGGAGCTTCCATGGGTATTCAAACTAGCCAAGCATTCTGAATGCTCATTTGAAACACAACAGACCAAAACTTCTTTCAGTCTAATGTCACTGAAGCTAGAACACTATAATACAAATAAACTCTGCTCATTATTTTCATATGTCCTAACGACAAGCAGCCAAACAGCTAAGCTGTGGAATAGACCCACAGAGAACCGTAAGAACCGAGGCCTTCAAATTAAAGATATTGTTTTCTGCCAACTCCAGGCACCGGAAAACACTGATGGGACTTGTAAAAACATAAAGCAAATACTGGAAAATGCATAGCCATGTGAAACAGCTCATACCACAAGTTAGATGCATAGAGTGGCTTTCGAACACCAAGGATGACCTTCTGCCTAACCCAGCCCACCAGTGCTTCTGAGGCAGCACTTATTCCTAGAAGATAAACTTTTCTGAGCCCAAAGAAATGATTTTTATTCACCTTATGAGTACAGAGATGTCCCAAATTGAACACAATCTGTACTTTTACCTGCTCTGCCAAGGCAATACATGCGCCCATTAATAGAAACAAGTAACAGAACTCAACTGCAATTTTATCACCTTTTGAGGAAGGAAGCAATCTCTTTCCTGAGTAAGCATGAGGTTAGCCACTTGTTCTTTCCTGTGTCCCTCACCCCCACAGTCTGCACAAGAACAAAATCTGTCCAAAAGCATTTGATTTCAGATTACCTGAACGTTTGCAGTTAATATTGCCTGTTATAGTGCTCATGTATTTCTCTGCAATTTTTAAGCTGCTGTTTGTTTCGCTTTCTGGTTATTACGTGTAATTGTGTAAAAATGTAGGAAAACAACTCATTAAAACTTCAGTGCCTCTGGGGTTTTCAGTCCTACTTCCTTCAAACATTTTTCTTAGGCTTTATTTTACCTCCCTCTGTGAAAGTCTGCTGCTATATTTCATTTTTACTCCTTTCTTTCTCACATTCCCATTGAAGGCTCTATATATAAGGGTATGAAAAGATCATTTGCTTTTTGCACTTTGTTACAAAATATAAGCTCATTTCCTCACAAAAGTTAGAGGTTAAGAATTCAAGTGTTTGTTAATGTGTCAATTGAAGTGACAATACCCTTTAAATTCCAATCACTCATTGGAACGCAGACCCAGTTTGACATCAACCTAAAGCAGAGACCACAAGGAAAGAATAATTTGTGATTTAAATGAAAAATGTAGACAAAGATCGTAATGAGGCTAGTAAAAACAGATGCTGAGGACAGGGCAAATGAGCAGAGACGGTGTTTAGTCTGCATGTATTCCAGCTGTGCCAATTAATCAAGCAGGTAATTTTCAGTATAAAAGTCTATTTTGGTTAATTTGAATTTTTTGCTTTTTGGTTTTGGGGGATGGTGAGCTGCTTAGATCAGAGGCTCTTGTTAGTATAATAAATGGCTATTTTAGAGCAAGACAATCAAATGAGGGTAGTCAGTTGTTTGAGACTTGTCAAGATAACTTGTGGAGGTATATTAAGCTTTACACAGCAGAGTTAACTCAGGTTTCTAGCAATACTTTTAGTAACAGGAACAGCACTCTTTTCCTGGAATGTCAGGAATAAAGCACTGGTTTACCTTCTGTGGCAATTACTTCAATATGGGCAGCTACAGTTATTCTTGAGAAAACAGCTCTGGATGTAGCAGCCATGATTTAGGTACTAGGAACACATCTTGAGCTGAATGTTTGCTGTCAAACCCAGCGTGGCTCTATTCTAAGTGATGAGTAAGCAGCAGACGTAAATGTTAGCACTTGCTCAATTGTTCCTGGAAGAAATGGCCTTTTCAAAAAGGTAAAAAAGTTTCCTTGGCCTCAAAATAAAAAACTCAATTATCTAATGTTGAGACAGGTGTTACAAATGTTGTCACCAAAAAGCCATGACAAAAATGATATTAAGTTTGATATATAGTAACTTTGATGAGTACTCACCCTCTGAGCTCATTCTGTCACCCAGTGGAATTGCACGGAAGTAAGCAAGAGCTTAGTCTACCCTAAATGAAATTTGTTAGCAGTAATGTTTGGTGTGTAGGGTTGTATCTCTTCTTTGGAATACAGGAGAATTAGTATAACTCCATTGATTCTGGGGCATGTGCTTTTGACTGACAGATCTGTTCCACCTCAGTCATCACCTGACCCTGCAGGAAAGAGTCCGCTACGGCTGTTAGATGAACAATCAGTGACTAGAAGAACTTATATCACTAAGGATATATCACTTAAGGGTAATATCACTAAGGCAAAAGATTTCATTCGTTGAGTGCCAGAAGTCTAGATTGTCTGCCTTAACACTTGTGAAGTATGGACTGAGTACCAGCCTCCTTCTAGTGTCATGGTAAGCTCTCATGCAAAAGCACCCAACTACTAAAGGAATGCTTCGTCTGTGTTAACAAAGGGTTTATTTTAAGCCTTTCACTAAGCTCTTCTATTCAATTTTAACTGTGTTATGTAGGGTTTTCCTTGTTATTTGCAGGACAGTAATGAATTCTGATTTGACCATGAAGTCTGATTTGACCTAGGGACTGATATAAGCAACACCCTGCAGCATGACTTGCTTTTTGCAGTAGGAGAAGGAGTTTTCTCCCTGAATCCTTTTACAACTATCTTATTTCTGCCAAGTTAGCATTTAGTATACATTCTCCAAGTTTAACATAATCAGATCTAAATAGCTGACTAGAGGCATCCTCACAGAACCTGCAGGGAAGAGTGGCCTAAGCGAACACTACTGCTCTCCAGATTAGTTTGCAGAAACATGCATCACTGTCTTCTGACGTTTTAAAATATTGCTCTTTGAGGTCATTTAGGAAAAAAAAAATCTTCCCTGCCTATCTGAATTTGCAAACTTTGAATTTAGGTTCATTTTGTTTGCATTTTTAAAACCCTATTGGAGGTAGCATAATGTTTCTGATAACTAAATGTGCTACCTTCAAAAATTCAACGATTTCTTCAGCTTTTGAATGTGGCTCAGGAAGCTTAATTGTACGATGGGGAAAGTTCAGGGGCTGTTGCAAAGCAGAAGGAAAGAAAATTAAGTATAAGGTGATAATTAAAAAAACAAAAAAAAATCACACAGTCCTTTTTTACCTGTTTTATGCACGTCTTTCCAGAAATACCATTGAGGAGCTGAGATTTTTTTTTTCTTTTGTTTAATGTTTGATTGACTAATATATGCACATAGCACTTTGTGACATATTATGGAAAAGTAAATGAGCCTTTATGGAGAGGCTGTGAATGAAGGTTCATTTCTCACGGAACCCTGCACCATCAACCACATGAAATCAGCAGATCATATTGAATCATGCTGGTTTTGTTAGAATGAAGATGATTGTGTTTTACACCTAGTAATGTGAGTGAAGACTTAGAAACACAAAGGCAAGTGAAATCCTGATTTTTGTTTTACCTTTGGGAGTTTCAGGTAGCTGGGGGAGAAAGAAATTGAGATGACACCTATGTGTTTTTTGTTGTGACAGGGGCAAGGAGCTACATTAGCTGAAGCACTACAAGCAGCCATTTCTTCTTGGGGTGTCTCAAACCCATTCATATGAAAACCTGGTTTTAACACCTCATTGAGAGTGGCTGAGTGTGTACAAGTTAGCAAATTAATTAATTTTATAATTTAGTGGCATGACAGAAGCTGACAGAAAGAGGTTAAGTTCCAGTTCCCAAGAAAATGAGAAATGTGCTTTTCCAGACCTCAGGATTCAGCGAGCTTCCACAGTCTTGGGCAGGGAAGATCTGCAGAGCTTTACTAAAGCAAAAGTGAATTGATGGGAAATCCCTTTGTTGCAGAACTACCAGAAAGACCCCCAAGTACCGACTGCATCTGCATGCGATGACCACTCTACAAAGTGGAGCAAATGAGGGAGGGCTTCATGCTCTTTTTGTGAGTATCTCAAGAGTGAAATAATATGCCCTTAACAGAGATTAGCTGTAGGATTTAAGAGACAGAGTTTGTAATATATTTCACATTTTAGGAGATGACGTTTCTGTGATTGTTCCTATTTGCTAGGTCCTCTGATTCACATCAAGTGAAGATGTGGCTATGAACTCTCTGACAAGTCTTTAAATTTGGTGCTGACATGTTTATGTGAAGCTTTGGCACTATCCATTTACTATTTCTGCTTTTCTGATTCTGAATCTCAGGCCTAATCAAACTAAGAAAATAAAATCCTACTACGACACAGTAAAGATAGAGTAAACTTCAAAGTTTTGCACCTTAAAGGGACTATCAGTTCTCTGTGGAAGGAGAGCTGCTGGGCTTGTTTCTTGTCTGGAGTAAACAAGGTGCATTTCCACCCACAGGGATCATAGTCTATCACCCAGGCTAAAGTGGAAAAAAAAAAAAAGGAATTTTAAAACACACAATGCAGTAACCATTGTAGATATGATCGTTTATTACTGTAATGATGCACGTGTGGAGTGTTCTTTTAAATGCCAAATTTCTGATAGGGCTTTACAGCAGCGTAACAACCTGGGAACACTGCCTTGTATGCTTCATTACTTCAGAATTATGTTCTGAGACTGAGATGAAGAGTAATAGAATTAAAGATGAATCATATTACTATTATGGCAAAGGATATAATAATGTGCATTGTGTAAAAATTATCTACTTACATGCTCAGAAACTCAGAGACAAGTAAAATCATGACCTTGCATTTGCTTCTACCTGGGGTGTGCCAGGTAACACAAACAAAAAAGAAATGACTGGGGATTAACATAGTGCTCAAGAACACCGAGAAAGATTATTAAATCAGTTAGATTGGGCAAGGATGAGAAAGGTAGCAGCTCCTAGACATGCTAGCTGGGACAACATGGAGTGAAGTGTTGGGGTTTTTTATAGGTATAATCCAGTGTTGTTCACAGAACTGAACAAGGAGCTCCAACTGAGACAGTATGAATTAATTTTGTCGTGATGACAGGAAGCTAAATGCAAGCTCCGAGTTCTTCCTGTGAATTTATTTATTTATTTATCCTGTGAATATATCTTAAAGCACTTTTTCCTCAGGTTTCCTCAAGTTCTCACAGGTTTGTCAGTAAAGGAACTGTGCCAGTGATTTTGGACCACATCACTACACAGAGCAAGTACTTAGTGGGCAGATAAACTTCCATGGCTGAATGAGTGCATCACAACTCTACCACTAAATATGCTTATACTACATCTGAACACAATTACTAGCATTCCTTTAGATGCTAATAGGGATCTATTATATAGATCCCATCTTCATTGCTTATTTTCTTTTTTTTGTATCAAATGTATATATTAACTAGTTACTAACAAAAAACAAGGAAAATTATTGCTTTTGGTATCTGCTTTGAAAGTTCCCTATACCTTTGACAACAGCAAGGAAGTACCAACCAGATGTATTAGCAGTCTTATTAACTTTGTGCTTTGCTTTAAGCTTCAAACAATTTCCTTCTTTTCCCAAACCCTCACCTTTCTTTTCCAGTATATATATATAGAGAGAGAGAGGGAGAGAGAGGGAGAGAGAAAGGGAGAGAGAGGGGGAGGGAGGGAGGGAGAGTCTAGAAGCTATATAAAGTATTCCAAGAACTGAAAAGTGCTAAGTTTTACTATGCGCATTTAATGAGGAGGAAAAAAATGGAAAAATCAAGTTGGAAAAATAAAAATAAAAGCTCCTCTCTGACTTCCAGTGGCTGAAGTCTGAGAGAGCTGACCTTCCACATTTTCAGCATTTTCCTCTGAATGCTGCAGAAGACATAAATAGATTCAAGACTGACTAGACTTCAGATAAACTTAATAAAAAGTAGCCAACACAAAAAAATGCATTCTCTTCCATGAGATGTTTGTCAGTGGGCCAGCACATAACATTGAATCCAAGCACTAATTCTGTTCTAAAACATTTCTCTGCACTTCCTGTGTGGGAAATCTCTCTTCCAGAAAGTACTGTGGATAGAGTCAGAAACTGTTTGCACAAAGAGCAACTACTAAGGAGACTGCAGGAAAACAGTTGAATGTCTATGCAGAAAATGTCATGACTTGGATTAGTATATGGAAATTCAGAAAGTACCAGTTTGCTCCTAACAGATGTTAATTCTGCTGCTGCTACAGATAATGGTGTTTCTTTGCTGTTCTCCAAGAGTTCTTAAAGGAAATTCTGAATAGCCATAAGCTAATTTACCATTGCAACCTCTGAGTGGTGAAAACTGCTACTTCAGTGTGCAAGTCTTTTAGTATAAGATAATATCTGTTTGCTGGCACAATGTATTTGTTCATTTCACAAACAGAATGTTTATGGTGTTTTGTTTTTAACAAAAGATGTTTTAAGTTTTTTCTCTCAGCATATGGCACATCCTAGCTTAAAACGCATCCTCTTCAAGAAACTTCGAGTCATTCTTCTCCGTTACTCATTTTGTAATTATTTTTCCAGAGTTCCTACTTTTCTTTAGTGCCAGTACACTTTTATTATAGCCAGATATTCAGATTGCTTTAATCACAGCTATTGCTTTGGCAGAATTACTTTGGCCAAAGTCTGCTCGTGTTTTTTTACTGAGAACAGTCTCAAAAAAAAAATGACTTGGGCTGTGCCCTGAAAAAGCAAAGAAACTTAGTTTTGAAGACACACTAACTTCCTGTAGTATGTTTAAGAGATTACAGAAATCAAGTGTAGCATAAGAGAATCTCTCGTGACAAATTATTTTAGCTCCTCAAGCTCAGCATGAGCTGTCTTATCCTTTCTGACAGCTGTTGCTTGGAGCAGTATTTATGATCATACAGTGCAAGCTTTGATGAGTGCATGCCATCTGCTGGAACTTTAGAGGTCTTTTACAGAGTAAATCCTGAAATACAGCAATAATTTTGACCCGGTGTAAAGCATCATCTTTATTGCTCCGTGCCTTTATAATTAAATTGGGATTTGGAGCCTCCTTTTCAAACTGTACCTTCGAAACAAATCAGAGAGGAAACACATTGCAACTGTAGTTTTGGGAAAGTGGGGAAGTTTCCTCTTCACATAGACTAGGAATTTGATTCAAATATCTGTATGAAATGGAGTGGGCATTCAGCTAAAGAGATTGTTCAGGTGATCTGTTTATACTGTCTCTCCTCATCAGCATGTCTGCTACTGTGAGCTGTGCCCAGAAAAATGCAGTGTTTAAGACGGAAGCTCATGACTACAAAATAGCTTTCAGAAAGAAGTGTGTATTTAGGATTGCAGACCTAAAGATGGATGATCATGGATGGTAGGGTTGTTTTCTCTTTTATGTTATATATGTGATGCCCTTAGGGCATGTGGCTCTCTGACAAAGAATCCAGTTCAGGAGCAGTGCGCAAGACTTAACTGCCTTTGTCTCTCCAAAGTTTGCATATGCTCATTTTACAGATGCAAAAGAGTTGAGAGAATTTCAGCACTGGCAAGAAAAAGGTTATTTTTGGCATTCCCTGAGTCTGTGTCTTGACAAGACATTTTCTTGAACGTTTTATTTTTGCTGTTTATTTGGTATTGTCTTCTGGACTGTAGTACAGCACTGGATAGCCTCAGCTGAACTATTCCAGCTGAGCCCAGCAAGCCTTCGTGGGGAGATGCCTCTTTTTGGGATGGTGAGGCACAGCCACTATGGGTGTGCTGAAGACAGGTCTGTACATGTGCTAAAGTTCTGAGGCTCAACAGCAAGATGCAACAGCCAGCTTTCCACAGAACACAGCTACTGTCACTGCGTGAGGGCAGAGCAGCTTCGGTGAAAATGAGGGTGGATTTCCTCATCTTAGCTGACTTCTGTAACCAAAACTTTAATTTTTTTTAAAGTTCTTAGGGGAAATCTAGAAAGGTTTACCAAATTATTCTGTAGTCCTCACCTTAATGGTTTTTAATATGACGCAGGTCAAATTTGAGGGCCCAGAGTTTCAGGTCCCTGACAGTGCTGAGCCCTGTGTGCCCAGGCCATGGCAGCAAGATGAGCATGTAGCCCAGCAATTTCCAAAGTATCATCTTGGAAGTCATCAGTCTGTAGGCTGGAGATTTGAAATGCCATCTCCACATAAGCTATCAGACTCCTTCAGTACAAAGTTAGAAAAAGAAAGTCCAAGCACAAGTTGTGAGTGTTTTTTCCTTTCTTCCTTATCAGACAGTGTTTCTTAAAGAGACCAAGCCTGAGATGGTACTGGTAACCAAAGCAGAGCATGTCATACAGAATGATCTTAACCTTCAGCCACATTTATTATGGTGATATGTTTACCATAGCAAATTCCAAAGCATATAATATCCAACAAAATGACAACGTATTGCAGGGCAGTGTAGTTTAAGGAATAAAATGTCAAAGCAAAACCCTAAGGCTTTTATTCTGTTTTTGCTGAGTGTTTACCAAAAATGGAGTTATGGAAAATCTCATTTACTTTTAGGAGAAGTTAAAGCCAAGGAATAAAAACTGCCCACACCACTAACCATCTAAGCAATGGATGTCCTTAAGTGAGTTTGAAAAGGACCGATAAGACTGTGTGAAGCATTAAAGCCCTCGGTGTAATGCCCAGCCTGTTCCTGGACCAGTGTCAGCGTGAATGCACAAAATTTGAGGCTCACCAACAGTACACGTCACACCCAAACACCATTTTCTGCCCTCTTAATCTAACCATAGTGATCTCCTGGGACACGGCCATGTGTTAACTCAGCAGCTCTTACACAAGTCCCTACAGTGAAGCATATGTTTATGTGGGCTATTGAACTGAGTGCTAACCAACAAACCACGGAAAAATATGACCCTACAATTTACTAGGCTATTTCTTCTAACAAAAGGCTTACAACAGAATTGCAAGCTAAAAGCAACCACTGTCTAAGTAACGACCATGAGAAACACACATTTTTGACTGTACACATTTCATTTTATTTTAAATGACTAAATATTAGACTTCCATATACTCAGAGACTTTGAAACCAGTACTACTTTAAATGATCCCAACATTTTTTTCATTATATGCAAACCACCTAGGCAGTTCTGACTTTTAGGACTATGGAGGCTTTTATTTATACATTGCTTTTATTTATAGCATTTCTACACTGTTACTTTAGCAATGTAGTTGTGGAGGGAGCTTCCACTAATAGCTCACTGCTGCATCAGTGCTGTTAGTGGAGCTCCAGCTTGGCATGCAGCTTTTGAGCCTGGACACCCCAACCTAAGCTCAGGCTGCCAGGACCTCATGCAATGGTGTCCTGAGAGTGAGAGCCAGCAGCACTTTCTTCATTTACATTTACAGCTTACTGCTCATCAACAAAGACTGTATTGTTAAAAGCTGTGAAGTGGGGAAACAGGCATGGTGGACACACTGAAAATACAATGGATTAGGAAATGTTGTGGCTGTGCCCAGATTGTAGGGCAATATAACGCTCAGGGGAGGAAAATTTGCAAATAGATTCAGATCAACTTCATGTGCTGCAGCTCCAATGCTGAGTTGTGTAGTACTTTACAGCATGTGTGCTTTGCTTTCAAAGAAATGAAGAAATCCACATTAAACATCCACACGGGACTTGATTGAGCTCTGTGTCATCACAAACAACACAGCACAGGTGAGTTTAACTGCTTATCATCAGCTAAATACAAACTTAAACAAGGAAATCTGACATTTCTGCTTAGCAAAACTAACTGAGGAAGCATTCTGTTCAAATGCTCTTTACAATTCTCCCGCCCTTTCCACATATCACAGAATCACAGAATGGCCAGGGTTGGAAAAAACCTCAAGGATCATGAATCTCCAACCTCCCTGCCACATGCAGGGCCACCAACCTTGCCAGTTAATACTGGGCTAGGCTGCCCAGGGCCCCATCCAACCTGGCCTTGAACACCTCCAGGGACGGGGCATCCACAACCTCTCTGGGCAGCCTGTGCCAGCACTTCACCACTCTCTCTGTAAAGAACCTATGTATTTCTGTAAAGAACTCTGTATCCTGGAGTACCAATGAGTCAATTTAATCTCTGATACTTTTCTGACTGATTAACAGTTATCACCAGTCGAAGGGCAAAATTTGCACCACTGAAATACTTGAAAAACAAAGGAATGAAAAATTTGTGATTATGCGTCTGTGCATCTTTCCTCAGGAATCAAGAAATCACTTGAATTTGCCTTGTATTTTGTATCTTTCTCTTCTCACGCTAACTTCTCTACTTTCTCATTACTTAAAACTATGGGTCTTCATTGCTGTATTTATCATAACACAGTTCAATAAGTCTATCTTTTCTAGCGTCATTCTTGAGATACTGAACTCACCTTCTTCTGCTCTTCGTGCTCTTCTATTGCTGTCAGCATAGTCTAAATGTCACCACATTTCCCAGCCAGAGGACACAAGGTCATTACCGGAGCAATTCTCTCCTGTGATCATATGCCTTTCAGTCGTTCTGCTGAGCACATGACACCAGTCACAGCGTGACTCTATCCTTAGGGACATTTACAGGAGTTCTCCAGCCAACATCATACACAATGAGCAAGTAGAAAGCAGTAGATTCATCAGAATCATAGAGTTTGCTTTGAAGTAATTACCAAAATCACCATCCTTCCTAAGGATGGCAGTGAGCTTTTATTTTGGATCAGACAAATATAAATTTGGGAATGCTGAGAACTTCCTCTATTTTTGTTGGGTTGTGGACTGTAATTGTTAGGTGATTATTAAATCATTTTATAATACAACTCACTTTATTTCAAGCTTAGATTTATTGTAGTTCTGCCTTCTACTGTATTTAAACTCTCAAGCAACTGGAGCTTAAAATGTCTAATGAAAAAACTGATATTTTCAGCTGTGCAGGAGGAAACAATTCTTGCTTGTAGAGTGAATTCTTGTTTGCAAAGACTCCGTTTCAGAGGAAAGAAGACAGATATGAAGTGGCCACTCATGTAGTTAGAAAATATGGCTTCTGGTGAAGCCCCTTGGTCTTCTCAATATCCCATTTTGCTGCCAGACTATGGTGTGTGTGCTGACCCAGACCCACAGAGCCACGCGGGGGCTCAGGCAGCACATCGCGCCGTGCTGTCATTCCAGTAAGAGCTGCCTAACTAGCCTGGCCTTTCACAAACCTGGTTCTGTAGGAAGATTGCAGCAGGTGAGGGAGATAATTAATGGCCTCTGCATTTTTGCCTCTGTCTCCTGGTTTTAGTAATTTGACCGCTTTCATGGCAAAGACTGACACAATAGATTTTCATACTCTTGATATTTTCCGTGCAGTTCAATACTGGCTTGTTAGAGCATTTATTAGCAGGGCAAATAATGACTCACAGGTGTTATGCAACTGATATTTTTATAACAGGAAGCCTAGGTGTTAGATGAGAAAATATAATTACTCTTCACTTGTGCTGAAGAATAAACACAAAATCTGAATAGTAAGGGTGAACACCTATTTCAGTTAAAAAAATTGGGGAAGCATGTGATCAGAGGGCAAAGTTACCAAAAAAAAGTTACAAAACAGGGCCTTACACAGTTACCTTCATGTAGGAGATCCTACCTTTCAATACCAGCATAGGGCGTTTGCATTTTAGATACATATTTTTGTCTAAAAAATGTTTCCCAGCTGCTCCTTTTGATATTCATCTCTAAAAAAATTAGGCACAACTATTTGCTGTGCAGGAGCCCTGTAGCACTAATGGGGGAGAGTTGTAAGCCACAGGATGGCTGCCAACAACCCACCCCACTCGCCACAACTGCCACAGTACCTCAGCCTCCTCTGTAGTGCTGACATAACCCTGTTGATGTCCCCAGCTCTCCCTCATCACTCTTTGGGTGCAGGACATGGGCTCCCTGGGTCTCTCCAGGATATGCTGGGGCTCACGGCAGCCGTGTGCCAAACAAGGATGGACCAAGCTCACTTCTGCTAGGGGGCTGCTCAGAGTTTCTCCAAGGCAATATGGCCACCTTCAAACCTGTTGAAGGCCTGGCAATGCTACACCCATTCAGACCCAGGCAACTTCTTGTGAATATGTTTTAAAGCAGAAAAACCTACTCAGATAAATAGAATAAATATTCCTGGCTTACAAATGTATTAAGGAAATGTATTAAGAAAACACCTTCCTCTCTCTATAACTAACCCTTCTATTTCTATAGATACTTGCACCTTGCTCATCACCTCATCATGCAAAAAGTTCATTAGCTAATACATTTGTTTGGACTCAGTGGTTTGCATTCCAGTGAGATGCTATAACACTGTACAGTCCAAACATGGCCTTGAACTTATCTGGGAAAACAAAGCTCTAGCCCTTTTGCAGGAATGACCATCCCACTCTGCCATTCTTTGCTTTTGAGTGCTTTCACTTTTCCAGGTTCCAGAAGATAGACTTGGGAGTAACAGGAATCTCCTCCCAAGCCTTGAGAAAGCTTCTTTAGAGCACACAGGTTCAGCAAACATTCCTCAGCTTTCTTCTACCTAAACTCTCACACAACCTGAGCTCCCGCATCCCAAAGTTTGGTAGAATGGCAGCACGAATTTTCCTGCCCTTGACTATTTTGGCATTATTTGAATCAGGCAGAACTTGGGAGTCCAAACTGTGCCTAAGTTAAATTGCCTGCACCAAGACCCCTCATAAGGCAGTAATTCTAATGATTCATGCCACAACTTGTTACACAGTTTCTTATATTTTCTGTACAAAGAAAAAGAAAAAAAAAAAAAAAACAACATGATGCTAACTGCTCTTCCTCCTCTTACACAACACTTAGGTTGAAGACAATCTGGCTCATTACTGCACTTGCAGGAAGTGTGGTACAGATTGTCTGGGATGATGAAATGCACACCTGCAATAGCAGCCAGTCCACTTTCACGCACATTACAAGGGAAGTTCTTTCGCTTTGATAACATGATATTTTTCTAGCGCAGATATATTTTAAGTGCAGACTTGTTTTTACATTCAATTAAGATGGTCTAAAAGACATGGCCTAAGAGGAGAGGATTGGGAAAATTCAACAGAATGTAACCACGGTTTGAAAAGCCAAAACTACATAGTTGATATCCATCACTCACCCAGTAGACATGTGTGAAATATCTGAAAGACTTTACAGACTTTATGACTGTTGAAGACAATTGTATCTGACCTGTCTGTTGCTAAAAATTTTCTCAAAGTGGACACAGTGTGTTCAGCCCGTCTTTGCCAGCTAATGAGGTGACATCACTGCTTTATGTCCTTCCCTCTGTTCGTTACTGGCAGGACACAGACTGATAAAGGACAAGCATATATCTTAAGGACACAGACCGATTACTCTTCTTTAGAAGGAAGGATGAAGCAATGTCCCTAGAGTACTCCAAAAACACCCCACAGAGTATTTATTATTGTTTTCCCAGAACTGTTCCTCCATAGGCTGACATCCAACATGGACTTACACAGATATGGCAATAAATAGGCTTCCTAAAATTAAAGGAGTTGTAGGCTACACATTTTTCCTTCTATTATTTTCTCAGAACTATGAGAAAAGGGAATATTTTGGTGTTTACTGTTTGGTTTTCCAGGATTACTACAGTTTGCGTGAAGGCATTCAATGGTAGCTCGAGCTTTTTTTTTTCTATGAGTACAACTGAGGTCTACATGAGATATTCTGTCTCGGAGGAAATAATCTTTCATTGATTTTTTTGCCCCTGCCTCTGCCCTCTGATCCTGTTGGCAGCTCTGGCTTTCACACGATGAAAGTGTTTAAAAGCATTTTAAAGAACTTCAGTGCAGGATGTGAATAGATACATGTATAATGCCACTTTCTCTTTGCTTTCAGTAGATGTTGGAGTAAAAATGAAAGCACTCAACATTTAGCACAAAAGCAAGTAGCTGCTGCTGTAGCTGGAAAAAGAAAGCTGACAGCAGACAGCCCCCTTTTGGTTAGTACGTTAATGACCATTTTGTGTGACTGGTACACTAATGTGAGAGATTGTACCAGTGAACTGAACTTACCACAACACAAATAAGAAGAAACAATTGTTAAATAGCAGAGGCTAATGTTTGTATAGAAAGACATTAAGTTCAGAGCACATCTGTCTTCAA